TGCTAATGACCGTAAAAGAACCTTTCTTATGCTGGTTATGGTGGGGCTAGTCCTTTTATATAGGTCTTTTTGAAGGTTGGAACGGCCCGTTCCAGTTTGGGAACGGGCCGTTCCAATTTTTGGGAACAGCCCGTTTTGGGCAAGAAATATTAGGCTTTTTGGAAGGCTAGAACGGCCCGTTCCAGTTTTGGAACGGCCCGTTCCGGGCTAGAATTTATAGGTGTTTTTGGAAGGTTGGAACGGCCCGTTCTGAATTCAGAACGGCCCGTTCCGGGCTAGAAATTTTAGGGCTTTTTTGAAAGGTTGGAACGGCCCGTTCCAGCTTTTGGAACGGCCCGTTCTGGGATATAAATTTTAAGGCTTTTTGGAAAGTTAGAACGGCCCGTTCCAGATTGGGAACGGCCCGTTCTGGGCTAGAAATTTTATAAAAAATAGTAAATTACCCTCCATAAAAATATAAACAATGAGGTGTTACATTTGACTTACGTATTTTTGTCTTTTTTATTCTTTTTTGAATATACCTTTTTTCTATTTTTTTTAAACAAAAATTGACATTTCCCGGACGAATTTGGGTTACTACATTTTATTTTATGTATAATGTATAATGAAAAAAGAGAAGGGTAAAAAAACAGACTCAACTAACGTGCAAGCATCAGCAGTGGTGACAATTATGTAAAGGGCCCATTGTTGTTATTATTAATCGAAAGCAAAACCATAGTACTAAGCACAAAACCAAACCCTAACTTTGGCGTGAAAACAAACATAAAAAATCTTCCTTTACACCCATCTAATGCCTGCACAATATATTGAATCATCATTATGAATTATGATCTTCAAACTACCAACCCCATTTCATCATATGTTTCTCCATGCTTTATAATAATAATAATAACACAGATATAACAATTGTAATATTTAAATAATTGTAAAATTACACAACAATATCATTTGAAAAAGAAAAAGAAAAACTATAAAAAAGGGCTCCTTAGCTGAATTAGCTTAAATAGGTTAACGCATTTGCGTCTATAGACTATATGTGCCGAGATATAACATTAAAACTTAAAAGGAAGGCTCCTTGACGTTTGACCCTTGTTTTATTGTAGAAAAACGTTTTTTTGTTTTATTTTAAAAGGAAGCTATAAAAAAAAATGAAAGAGAAACAACAACAAAATTTGTTGGAAAAATCTCATTGTCATCAAGCTGGTATGTAATGATGATAGTAATTTATTTCTTACATCAAAAGGATAAATATTTATTTTACAAAATTAAAATTTTATAATAAATAAATGTTTTAAATATTTAAAGCATAATTTAATGATATTATATTTAATTAAATATATGCAATAAAAATTAATGAAATATTCATCAACATATAATTTATAAAATAATAGTTTTTTTTTTCAACAAAAAATACATTATAGACTAATCATTTAATTTTTTTTATTATATAAAAAAGACTAATCATTAGAAAAACAACATTTTAGGACACACATTCTAGTGTTAACACCTCACTCATAATCCACTGTCAAACTGTAATATTGTTTTTGGTATCCTATATTTCAAACTAAAATATAGCTTTTCCTTTTATATTCTTCGTCAAAATTATTTTATTATTTTCTTTTCATCCCATTATGGTTCTTAGCCGTACTCGTCATGCTTTGTCAACTATCTCTTCTGTGCAAAGTGATACAAAATGAATACCACATTTATGGTGCTCCATTTTATAAGGAAGTACTGCACGAATATCAACCTCCCCATGATCATTAAAACGTGCTTACAAGTTCTGTATGTTATCATGTTAAAATATGTGTTGATTTTTTTTAAAATTTATCTCATCTTTTAATACATCCATTAAGTATAATGAAAAGTATTAATGAATAAAATATAGCAAATAGTCAATGAAAATTGTTTTTTTAATCAAGTTTTTTTACAACCCTTTTATTTTTGGAATTTTTTTAAATAATAATTAATATAAAATTAGAAACACGTTAAATGCAACTGAATCGAAATATTTAATTTATTTATTCATTTAGTTGTTAAAATAATGAGTACTAGTTTATATTCATTAAATATTACATATTTATAGTATTCATCTTTTAAAATTATTAACCCATCGATTTGACAAAAGTCAAAACCCATAAATATTAAAATACTATTACATATTTTTGTTCATATGAAATATTATTATATTTAGATGTGATCCACTCTATTAAAGGATTTTCTACCGAATTTTAATTTTAATGTACCTCAAGATTGGATTTCGAGATATGCGTTTGGTGGTATATTATTATTTAAGTATAACATATATATTATATAGGAGTTTGGAAAAAATAAAGAAATGAATAGCTTGAAAGGAAGAGTAATCTGTTGCGGAAGGAAAGAGAAGCTTAACGGCGGGAAAAAAAAGAAGAAAAAGCGGCGAAAAGCAAAGAAAAACCACCAAACCAAAAGCAAACTCTCTCATCTTTAATTCATTTTTTAATTTTTAATTATAGCTCCTAAAAGCAAAGCAAACAAACGCCCAATAATCCCTCTCTGTTTTTTCTTCCTTTATTTTTTTTTCTCTGAATCGAGAGAAACCGAAAACTAAAAGTGAATGAAACCGGTTTCTACAAGAAACAGTGTTTTTAGTGTTGGCTCGTAACTAGATCTGCGTCTTCTTCGTCATTGCTCGGTTCTTCTTCTTCTCTCTCAGGTACTTGCGTTTCTGCGTTTCTTAGATTCCTCTCTTTTGCGTCAAGCGATTCTCATTTCTTAGTTCCATTTGCAACTTTCAAGCCTTCGTTTACTTTTTTTCCAGGTTTCAATGTTTTATTCCGTATGCATTGTAATGTGAATGTGTTGTTGTCTTTGAAGAATTGAACACTCTGTTTTTGTCACATTTTTTTGGTTTGTTTTGGCTGGAGCACGTGTTCGTTTCGTCGATGTTCATTTTCTGTGATCTTGTATCTCGTGTATAGGTATAGTTCGTAGGCATTTTCCTTTCCGTGTGGAATCTGCTGAATGCGTATGCACAATCGATGATTTTGATGTTTGTTTGCTGAGAAAATTAGGAGAGAAAGTTAAGCAAAGTTTAGACGCTTACTTCGAGGTAAAGGAAAACGAATCACTCCAGTGCACTCAACTGCTTCAAATAATTGAAAAGGAAAAGAAAAAGAAAAACTCAAACTGATGATTGAGGTTTTTTTTTTCTTTCAATATTTGAACATAAACGACAGGTTCTAATTTATTTTCTCATACAGATCCTGCCTCTTTTATTTTTATTTTTAACTCTCTTCAATACTTATTGACTATTCCAGTGATAAATGATGTGAAATTGGTTGATTAGTATTAACTACCAAAATATTGGTAGATGTTTACGAAATTAAAGCGTTTTCACCTTTTTTATTTTTGCCTTTATTTAATATATATTTCATTTTTTTAGAGGATATTTTAATAATGTAATTGGGATGATGAAGTCAGTTTTGAGTTCTAATTTCACACGGTTGATGCGTTTTTACGTAAACGCAATACCGTCACTTTTCTGGTTTATGTAAGTGTTTGTAAGGGAACTTGGAAGTTAAATTTTGCCATCTTAAGTGTTAATATTTCAGGGGTGTTTACGGTTGATCACTTTATTATTGAGACTAAAGAGTTAGAAATTATGATAAAAACAGTTGTCGTACCATTTAAACTGTTGGAATTAGAATTTATTCTCCGATGATTGATAGGGAATGGTTGGCCGAAAAAAGGTATGACAGGCAGGACAAGTGAAATGAGATGACTATCACTATTCACTGCCAAAGGAAAAAAATGAAACAACTATTATTCTCTAGTTACGTGAAGACAAAACCATAAGTTAAATTTGACCAAGAAAGCTGCCAAAACCTCGCCAAGATTTAAGTTGTTGTTCTTTTATTTCATTTACGGCCTGGTTAAATTGTAATGGAGCTCCAATGACAATAATGAGTCTTTTCTGAATAACACAGTACAGGAATGGCATAGGAGATCTTAAGGGAATGACACCTATTTCTTTCCATTCATGCTCTGCGTAGCACTGTGGTGTAGAAGAAGAAATGGAATCTGGGGAAAGCAACAGTGGTAACGCGAGGCGAATCATATCCAAGGATTCTTCATGGTGCAGTCAATTCCGAAATGCATCTAATCCTTGGATGGCAAGATATGCCTATGCCTTGATTTTTCTTGTGGCCAATCTTTTAGCATGGGCTGCCCGGGATTATGGTCGTGGTGCTTTAACAGAAATGAAGAGTAAGATTTCTTGAATCCTTAATTGACGAACTTTTACATCTCACCGCCATGCCATTTTGTTTGCAAATGCTTCTTTCAGATCCAGTTCTTATACTTTAATATTCCATCTGTATTTTATATAAATTGAAGTAATTTTCTTCTCAATGCTGCTGCCTATTGATTCTCCGGAGATTCACATCTTAACCATCAAATCTGACGTCTCATCTGGATGCATGCATTATTTTATAAACATGAACTAGATACAGTGAAAAATATTCAGAAATTCACAATGTGCTTCTCAGATTGTATCCATTATGAAACTGTTTGATGACCGAAGTGTAATAAGCGAGAATTTAATTTACAAATTCTGATCATAAAAAGATTTGTCTATCCGTCTATATTTAGTAAGTTGAACTTCTTAAATGATAGCAAATCATTCAATCAAATCGAGAGAAATTGTTGTCTTGGCTACACCTGATGTACCTTATTTTCATATGATGGCATTAGCTTAAAATCTAATATATTGAACCTGCAGGATTAAAAGGATGCAATGGTGGAAAAGACTGTTTGGATGCTGAAGGTGTTTTGCGTGTGAGCTTGGGTTGCTTTGTATCCTTTTCAATTATATGCATGAAAATAGTTGGTTAAGGCTTTGTATAAGGTTTGTAGAAAAGAATCTATTAGTAATTTTTTTTTACAATTATTATTATTTGCTTATATCATATATCAAATTGTCAGTGTGACTCCCACTACCATAATTTATTAATTACTAATATTTATCGATAAAAAAAAAAAAAAAAAACTTTGTCAATGTCACTTAATTGCTTAGTCCTATAATATTTAAAGTGAACCTTAATCCGAGTTTAGATATTTTATATCATAATGTTTTTGTCAACTGCTCGCACTTCTAAACTGAACAACGTGAGGGATACATGGCACTCTGGATGGTGGTCAGTCAAGATTGCTCTCTGGGTCGTCACGACTGTCATCCCATTTCTACTCCCTTCTGAATTTATCCAGATTTACGGTTAGTATACTAGAATTAGTGCTTCTTCTGAAATATCAAAACGTAGTTGTTATTTATAACCTTATCATCCTCTGATACAATTCTTTTGACAGGGGAGGTGGCTCATTTTGGTGCAGGGTACAAGTTTTAAACCCTAACAAATAATTTAGTCATGCAATTCTTTCTAAACTAACATGTGAATATTTAAAATGCCTTTTTTTTTTTTTTTTTTTTTTTTTTTGTATCCCTTTTTCAGGGTTTTCCTCCTAATTCAACTAATAAGCATAATTAGCTTCATTACATGGCTGAATGAATGCTGCGAGTCTGAAAAATATCCAGCAAGTTGGTAAGATTTTATCAGTTGAAGAACTAAAAGAAACACTTGCATCCTGAGCATGAACAATTTGCTAAAGAAAATTGTAGCTATATAAATTTTAACGTTTTATTTATTTGTTTATTTAACGGTTTAGCAAGGCATATGTATTGATTTTTGGATATTGAATAATTTATTATTGTGCTGATATAAAGACAAAATCAGAAAAATAGATATTGATTTTCTAAATATATATTAGCTTTCTATTATTAGCACCGAAAGTTCTCTAGAGTGGCATAACCAGTTATTGTTTGATCGATTGTATTCTAGCTTAGCAATTTAGCGTCAGGCTCTCTTATGTAGTTAGAAGTGGGGCAACCAACCTAAAATTATGCTTGCGCATTTAATCCTATTCCACTTGTAAAACTTTGACAGGCTGATAATCAAGTTGATCAATTTATTTAGGATAAGATTCCATATTTTGTAAATGTTTGCATTAATCATCAAATCTCATGCAGCCAAATCCATGTGATGTTGTTTGCAACGACTGCATATGTTGTCTGTCTGGTGGGGATCATTTTGATGTACATTTGGTATGCACCAAAGCCATCTTGCCTCCTCAACATTTTCTTCATTACTTGGACGCTAGTACTTCTCCAACTTATGACAAGCGTGTCTCTGCACCCAAAAGTAAGTTCCATTTGTCTCACTCCATTCACTTCATCGTACAAGACTTGCGTAGAATTTCTGACTTTATCTGCAATAGGTTGATGCTGGCATTCTAACTCCAGGGCTGATGGGGCTTTATGTTGTCTTCCTTTGCTGGTGCGCTATAAGAAGGCAGGGACCAATCTTTGCTTGATAGTTTTGGATTAGTATCGATGTTGCTGTCCAATACATTTAGTTTCTATTATTTAGTGCAATATTATCTTCCAAAGAAAGCATGGGAGTAAATCTATCCAAAAAGAAAGGCATCTATAACTTTTGGTTTCTATTCATTTATTGATAGGTCTGTGCAGGTTCGTTTATATTTTTTTTTCTTTCAAAAACCAAACTGAACTGAATCATTTTATAAAAATGGTTCAGTTTGAATTGAATTGCTTTTATAAAGTTTTTTTTGTTCTTCTTAAAATGGTTGGATTCGGTTCATTTTTGTTTTTCACACCCATGCATGGTTTGATTATTTTTAAAGAATTAAACAACTTCATGAAAACGGTTTGGTTCAAATTGAACCATTTTCATTTTTTTTCCCCTCAAATTAGTCCATATTTATGGTTCGGTTTAGTTCGATTTCGAAGCTCTTCAGTTTGATTAGTTTTTTTCCACACCCCTATTTATTGCTTACACAACCCCACTTATCTCCCCCTTTTCGTTTCTATTGAAATTGAGCTTTAAAATAATTTTGCATGCAGTGAACCTGCTGGAGAAAACTGCATCAGGAAGTCAGATTCTGCAAACAAAACAGATTGGCTAAGCATCATTGTAATATATTTCTATTTCTATTCCTCTCCTGTTTTTAATTGTTTTTTAGAGTAGTAATATATAGATATTAATGCTACACTAAAATAAGAGAAGTCTTAGAAGTTAGAACAGCTCTTAAAACGATGAACTTACAAATATATACGTCTGTTGTATATCCGACCCTGATTCTCTAGCTCACTTATATGCGCATTTCATATACATGTATCCATTTAATAAGAGCCAGGAAAAACTGATACTCTTCTCAGAAATTATAATTCAATGTCTCTTGTCTATTCTGAAAATATTTGAACTTTTTAAAGAAAAAGTATCTTTGCCTTTTGGTTGTAAATATTATCATATCTTCTTTATGATGGCTTGGTAATTAACTTTTAAATAATCGAAATCTATAATCCCTGTTACTTTTTCATTATCGGTTGACCCGTGTCAATGGCTTTTGTTGGCAGAGCTTTGTTGTTGGAATACTGGCAATCGTTATTGCGACATTTTCAACAGGCATAGACTCCAAATGCTTCCAGGTTAGTTACAAACTCTGAATTTAACTTGAATTACCACATTATGTTCTCAATACATATCTGACAGAGCCCTGCAGTTCAGGAAGGATGATACACCACCAGCAGAGGATGATGTACCTTATGGTTATGGCTTCTTCCATTTTGTTTTTGCCACAGGAGCAATGTACTTTGCTATGCTATTGATCGGATGGAATACTCATCGTCCTATGAGAAAGTATGGTCTTCTCCGATCTCCCCTCCTATATCTGGCCCATATCATGTTATCCACTTATTTGCATCTTACTGGGTTTTCTTGTTTTCCTTTGTCCCGAGAAAAAAAAAAAAAGAGTGGCAAACAAAAATGCATTTCCAATTGATAATCAGCAAATAATCATATACAAATAAATATGCCCCAGAACCCAATAAATGTGGTTCCCAAAACTTCTAGAGGTGTCTTATTTGCAAGACACTATCATTCTTTTTAATCAATTATTATAACTGTATTTTATTCACTAAATCTTCTAAAGTAAATCTGCTACCACTTTAGAAGAATTAACAAGGTAATATATTAGTCAGTCAGCACTCAGCAGTGTTACTTCGAATATGTTGTCACTGAAATGATATTCATTTTTTTGTTATATTCTCAGTTATAGTGCTAGTAGGAAGTTCATCTGAAGCTGATTGTCTTTATTTCAGCGCCCTCACACATGTTATAGCAAGTAATACCTTTATTATTCTGCAGATGGACAATTGATGTGGGTTGGACTAGCACCTGGGTCAGAATAGTAAATGAATGGTTGGCGGTCTGCGTATATTGTAAGTGATTTTAGTAAAACCAAGTCTGGCATGAAGATCTGAATTATATCTTAAACTCGTGAACATAGGTTTAATAACTTTTTCCGTATAATTCTTGAAACGATACTTGTATCTTTTGACAGTGTGGATCCTGATAGCTCCAATCATATGGAATAGCAGACATACAGATTCTACTTGAGAACGTCCGAAACATAAACCATTCTAGTTTTTTTTTTCGACGATCAAGATCTTCAGATAGACCCATATCTCAGCTGTAAATCCAGCTTTGCAGATAGGAAAAAGAATTGCAATTGCAAGATGAAGGAAATTCTCTGGCAGAGGAAACGATTCTTCTACGGAGGGCACTAGACAGAGGCAATGGATCTGGCACAAATGCACATATACCAAATGAAGATATACGGTCCTTTCACTCCTCAAAGGGATTATAAAGAAAAATACACTTTACCTGTACATGTGTCAATGAGGGAGCACAATGTAATTTAGAGTAATTTAATACATGCTGGTTAGATTTTTCATTCGTAAAATTTTCATCATTAGTCTTCATGTTGGAGTTTTGGTGCTGGCACAACTGTTAATGAGGCATGCATCTGTTGGTGGGGGGGCGCTGGAAAGGATCTTTCTAACCAGCTAAATTTTCGTAAATTGCATTGGTTTTTTTAAAAATTTATCTGAAGCTTATAAAAAGAAATGAATTAAAGAAAGCAATAAATGTTAAAATTTAAAATCAAATTTCAATTGAGATGGCACATTAGGATTTCAAAATTTAGATGTATTAAATTTATGTAAATATCATTGTCTTACTTTAAGCTCCCGTTAATGGATGTACAAATTTTAATATCATTTTAAAATATAAATTTAGATTTAACTCCATAAAAAAAAACCCACATTTTAAGACTACCAATCAGAAATTATTAAAATTACTTTTAAAACAATAACTATTTTAGAAGTAAACAAAATTATCGTACATAAGTTAAAATAAAAAATATTTACACTATCACTGCATTTTAATTAAATTATTTTTATTATTATCTGTAGCCTTATTTACTCGACATGAAATGGCTTTTATTGTTATACTAATTTCTTACAAATAAACATAAAACTTAAAGACAGTCAAGTGCACCGATTATGTAACACGTAAGCAGTACAATGAAAAGAAAAAAAATAACCACTATCACATGTAAAACAAATTCAAAAAACAGATAGAGGCATGGAACTCAAACTTGACAATTATTTAACAGGGAGATGTACCTCAACGAATAGAAAGACCTTACAAAAATTGAGATTACAAAATAATACAATACAGGAAAAAACTGAAAAATAATACTAAGGGCACCTTATGGCTTTATCTCCACAGAAGTGTCTCTGTAACTCCCTCTCCCCAAAGGCCGAATTCGCCTTCATCTTTCCTATAACAATAAACAATTTACAAGGCCAGGTACAAATATTTGAATTTGAACCCACAGGTGAGTGGTGACTGGTAATAAATCTCTCTATGCGTGATGAGTGTTTCGTTTTAACTGACAAACGACAGACATTTCAACCATGTTTGTACAGGGTGCAACAAATTGATGCATGAATTAAAGAGTCCGAGCAGACGAAAACTTAAGATCATCCGAAAGGGTTCCCTCCTGCATGGAAGGTGTTTGGGGTAGCAGCAGTATATAACCTACCAGTCAGCTGCTGCTGATCTGGATTTGAGAAACCAAAAGCATTTCCCTCAGTAGCGAAATTCCCAGTTCCTTGATGCCTACATATTCAATTATAAATCTTAGGTGGCAAGGAAAGTAATGACCAACTGCAACCAATAATTATCAACCCTATCCATACCAGCACAATAAATTGTCCCTTCCACAGATTACTTCACAAATCATAACAAATATAACTCAGTTCTCAGTAATCACACCTAATACAGCCCACTCGAGGAAAATAGCTGGTGGGACATTTTACGAATAATTGGACCCCAAAGATGAAATTTCCAATAGAAAAGAAACAATCTAAACCTAAAACAGCCCATACAACAGCAAACATTATCAAGACTAAAGAACAAATTAGTTTATATACCTTTGCATTGGCATGTTAGTTGCCATTTGTTGCCCCATGTATGCCCCTGAGATTTAAACATGGTTTAGGTTACAGACAGAGCAAAATAGCCGTGGCATGAAGTAATTGATTGGGGAAATAGTAATAGGTATACCTGGACCCATTACTGGTGCAAGAGTTTGTGCTTGAGGAGGAGGCATTGATACATAGGATGATGATGAGGGTGGATTCCAAGCAAGAGGTTGATTACCCATGTTTGAAGGGTGAATTGTAGCTGAAGGTGTTACACTAGGCAGAGCACCTTGCAAAGATGACATGGAAGGAAACTGCAACCAAGGAACACCGACCATAAAGCATAAACCAAAATGAGCAATTAATTGGTGAATTAACATATTAGATAGTCAGCATATCATTCGTCAATGTTCCAGTTTTTTCAAAGTCAGATGATCAGAGAAAGAAAACATAGCATTTATGAGGCTCCTCAAAGAAAGATGCAAACTCCAGAAAGTAATGTACGCTTTAGTAATTAATTATGAAAAATAAATTGAGCTATTAATAACTAAACAGTGGATAAATCCAAACCACATTAATGTACTTTAGAAGAGCCAAAATCTCAAATTAACAAGATTAAAAATAATAAATGGTTTAATACAATACTCACGTATGACCTACACAAAATAGGACCAAAAGAGTATAATCTATCACTGGGAACATTATAACTAGTTTATCAATGAAAGTCGCATACTGTTGGGGCTTGAAATGGTGTTGGTTCGTTGCTGATATCAAATGGATTTGTTGATTTTGATTGTTGAGGAAAACTTGGCATGGGCTGTAACAATGGGAAGAAATTTATGAGATATGCATCATACTAGTGTACTAGCCAGTAGCAATAGATTAAGTTCCGAACTAATAAATTGGATTGGAAAAGTACCATCATATTATTGTATTGAATTGAGATACCCGTGCTAGGTGGTGGAACCATTTCCCAACCTGGGACTCGAGCAGGGAAGGACGAATATTTTACAGTGAATAGATCCTGCAGAAATCAACTACTCCTCTAAGATAAACAATAGATACACACAATCATCTGCATCATATAGATGTTTCAATAAATAAAAGATGGAGGAAAGAATACCTCAGGAAGCTCACTTCTTCCACTTGATTTTGTGTCTACTGTAGAAGGTTGTAAAACAACAGTGGATTTAGCCCCATTGGCAGGCTTTGGGACAAGGTGTGATGCATGAGGCATTGGTGTGCTTGAATGCCCCTGTACCAATGGTACAGTCCAGGGCTGCCAGAAATTTCCAGGAAAGGGTGAACAAATACCAGACCTGAATTAATAGACAGAACATTTGAGACAATTCTACAATAAGACAAACCTGATTATTCAAAGCTCCACCAATTGGTGGTGTAGATTGTTGAATAGTAGGCTGACTACCAGCAGCAGTGAACAAAGGTTGATGTTGCTGATACTGCAAACTAGCCCACTGTCCTGCATTATTGAGAGTTGATGTTGTCAATCCAGATGTTACTGAAGCACCACTGGCTGGGAATGTTGAGAAGCCGCCAACAATTGAAGCTCCAGAAGCAGTGATGGTAAGAGCAGATCCCCACACAGGTCCTGCAGGTGAAAAAGATGAGTCATTGACAATTAACAATCTTGACACGTGGCTCCCAAGAATAGCTGTTGCAACATGGGGATCACCTTGCGCTCCAGACACCTGAGAAGGTAAAGATACTGGTACTGACAATTGAGTCAGCACAGATTCAAGTGGATTTACATTTGAAGGAGCCTGAGATGCTTTTGCCTCAGGAGCAACATCAAAAGAGGCCCAATTATTATCATTGGAATTTGCAGGAATCCCAAGTTGAGCCACATTAGGTTGCTGGGCTTGAGGAATTGCTGGGGCAGCAGGTGGTTCAGGATCATCATCAAAATCAATAAGGCTCTTAATAGTCTCAAGCTTAACTTCTACCGCAGTTCCATTGCTTGAAGCCAAGCTACTGGAAGATGCAGTTCTCTGAAATCACAAGTACAAATAGTCGGTTAAGATAATTATTTAGGTAGAAAAATAATTTTGGTAAACTTACAAAGGAGGTCAATATCTTAAGAAAGTTCATGGTAAAGAAAGTAAATACTGAGCTACATCACATACATAGATTAATAAGAGAACAAGGATGCTATGAATGAACATGTTGATGTTCATGCTTATTGTCACTTCCCATTGCTCATTTTACAAAAAGATATTGATCTAAATCCCTTCCCCTTCCATCTGTTTATTTAGCTCACATAACCCCTTGTCCCCTTCTACTAACTACCTACTATAACTGTCCCAATTAACTGTTCTAACTCCTAATACAGATGATTGAAGCATATGGAACATCATCAGTAACAGTAATAATTTCACCTGTGTGAGTGCTGAGCCATTAGCAGCCTGTCCACCGTTTGTTTTGGGTGGTTCACTAATTCGAAGTGGTACTACATTTTCTCCCAAGATCTCTCTAACAGGTCGGGCCACAGGTGGGCTGGAAGAACCCAGATCCCTGGTTTGCTCAGGAGAATGGCTTTCCAGCTTATGATTTCCATCGGATATTCTATTATCTTCAAATTTCCGTCCATCCCCAAATCTATCTTCTCGACGCCAATCATTGACTATTGGAGGACGACCAGGGCTTCTCTTGTAATCACCATATTGTCTATTTTCTTGATCATATCCAGGACTTCTTCCACCAGGACTAGACCTGTCACTGTAATCGTATGGAGGGCTTTTGGATCCTCCCGGATACGTCTCCATCCTCTTGTTCTCATCGTCCTTGTCACCCTGTATAACATGCAGGGTTAAAAAAGAGAATTAGATTTAGCAGATACATTTAAGTGATAAGCAAAAATAACAGTGTAGTTAAACCTATAAAGCAGGGTCACATATCTAACATAACAGACTGACATGTGTCCATGTATGTTTGTTTCAACAAACTAATTTTTCTGCTCCAACATGGCTACAACACATCAGCACTGGACTAATTATTATTATTAAAAAGAGATTGAACCTGTTTTAAACTTTCAAGAAAATTTTAATAATGAAAAGGGAGAAATATAGTATCATTTTAGTCATGTACCCATTTCATTTACCCCAAGCTTTTCCCTTCATTTTGTGGCTAAAATTTAAGTATTTTGTATCTGCTTAAAATAGTAAATCCAAAGAAGAAAACAGACACTTTACCACCTTTGCTCTTGGAGGTTTGTCATAAGTTCTGTCACCAGTAAATCTTCTATCCACATAAACATGCTTAATGAAGTCCCGGAGCCTGTTAATATTGCTGGCACCAGATATGCTAATCAGAATAAGGCACCCTGCAGTTATACACAAAAGCTAACAAGCAAATGCTTACCTGCTATCAGGCAGAGAATGATGTTGTGGATCCCATTCTTTAAAATAGATTTCTTTTGCGTGCTGCAAATATTAGATATAATGAAAATAAACTTATGAAATGTGTAATTTGAGTGAGACAGAAGATATCTAGGACAAGCTTTAGCACAAAAAAGCATAAACACCTGATTTCCTCCTTCTTGAAGTGCACTAACTTCCTGTGCAGTAAATTTAGCCATTGAAATTGATTTTACTCGATGTGTAAATTCTCGGCTGGAAATTGAATAAACAAAAAAGCAGTTGAGAAAAAGGAAACTGAAACAATGTTGTCCTATCTCTTCTACAACATAATATTTAAACAAATCACAATTTGGATAAATCTGCCAAAGAAAAATAAGATTTTTTTAGGTTTACAATTTATGAACTCCGATCCATTGCAAAGTAACAAACAACATTACAACAATACACAGGAAGTACAAGAAAAATGCATTCAGTATACATGCAAACATTTCAAGCTTCATTGTTAGTGGAGTACAAGATCATGAGGAAATCATATAGAAAGCCTGTAAACTAGAGGCACATTCCAAAACTCAACTCCATCAAAAAGAGCCATACTAGTAAGTACAGTAGGTTTCTAAAGCACCTTATACAATATCTATTCAACAATCTTCAAAGCCAATACATTTTGACAATACCATGAGAAAAAAGATTGCAAGTACTTACTGTATTCCACTACAGCTAATGCAAACAAACGTCCAGAAATTTGTGCACACGTATTGTGGTCCCTATCAAGAGAGAAAGAAAAAAGGATTTAATGTAACAGACTTGTCTCAAATCTCAACATCAAATTCAATAATATCCTAGCTAGGTTCAGAAGAAGGCAATCACAATACTGGCTTTTAAGCCAAAAAGCCTAAAACAGACAATAAACATGGCAACAAAAGCATCATATCTTTATTCAATTTTATCTCTTTGTTTCAGGCTTCCTTTTTGCACAGAATCTAGAGATTTAAAATATACTGCGTGCTACTATCATCCCAACAATTTTAATGAGCTACAACCATGATCTTACAGAAAACTGAGAACATCTTCTCTCTCTCTCTCTCTTTTTTTTTTTCTTCCAAAATTTCTTCATAACTATTATACAGACACATTTTTTAAAAACTTGTCTAAAGCTGATACTATTGAAGCATTCGGCAGAATAAGCTTGAAAATTATTTGACACATAAATTCCTTGTTTAATAATTTAAACTAAAAATCAAAATATTATTAACCGAGTAAAGCCTCACTTGAAAAGATTCAAAAATCTAACTCTACTGTAATTTTCAATAATTGACAGTTTGACGCTTAAATGAAAGACATTTTCATATTAGTTGACATGCCATACATGGGTGAAATCATATTATTTGTGCCACCCACTCTAGCAAATCAAATACAGCAAGAAACTGCATGTCATTAGCTTGCATGTTTATCTGTTAACTGCCCCTCGAAAGGATATTCATCCAAAAGCAAAATATTCTTGCTCCCATGCGTTTTCTTTGCCACAACGTGTGTAATGATTTGCAGATGGTTAAACAAGCATACAATTACTTGCTGCAATGAATTCCTATATCAGATCATTTTGTTTCTATTAAGAAGCAATCTATTTAAAGTAAGTTTCCCATGATAACACAGTCCAGGTGAATCTAACATTAATGAACTTGCGGCACAAACCATAATTCCACACAGAAATTCTTAGGTTCTTGAAGAGCAAGAGAAATCGTTACATTACCATTGAATGTACATCATATCAGTGCCCCTCACCTTAACTACATTTTGAATTTTATTACCTAATGTAGTATATATTCAATGGTAGTACAAAGTAGGAAAATTCACCATTTTAAAGAGCACCTAACAATATCTCAATCCGCTAAATTCAGAACAAGATCAACAGAGATGGAAATATAACAATATATATAAACCCTACCAAGCTGTTACAGTTAATACATCTTCGATTTGGTGTGAGTTTGAGAAGACCTCGAATTATTCGTTCATTTTTCTCATCTTCCTTCAGTCGACTTGCCATCTCCACTTCTGTTGCACACATCAAAACATGTATAAACACAACACTTCAATGACTCACGAAAACAAAACAAAATCAGATTGCTACTAAAAGCTGCAGAGAAATGAACTAAAACGTTTCATGCGTTCATCCAAAACCACGATCATCCGCGTTCAGCTCCACATAATGCGTCTAGAACGTTCCGAAACAAAAGAAATTAAAAAAAAAAAAAAAGTAGTCTAGAATATTCCATTCCTTATGCAACAAATTTCGCAGTAACCGCAGAGGCGAAGAATAATGCAGAGAGCACGCAAATGCAAAAACACCAGATCTGAGAATGAAACACTAAGTTGTAGTGATGTTCTGAACTCGAAATACTTTTAAAACCCTAAAAGTTACAGAAAAATAAAAAGGAAATGAAGTAGTAACCTGATTCTGCAGCAGACGAAGAATCGGTTCCGACTTCGAGTCTTAAAGTTATGCAGATGAAAACGCAGGCTGAATGAAAGGAGAGAGAAAGAGTAACAGATCTTTGTGAATTGCAAAATTACTTGCTGCTTTGTACAGTTCAAAGAGAGAGATTAGATTTAACCAAACAGAAGAAAAGAAGAATTGGTTTCAAAAAGTTTATTATGTTTTTGTATTTTGATAGGAGAGGCTCCAGCTGTGTGATGAAGTTGGTTTTATTTTACGCTTTGTTAGGACAGTCACCAGCTGTGGTCATACATGGCGACTCCAAATTCTATACCATGCTTGACCATCACATTCCTCTTTTCAAAATTAAAATTCAAAATCAACTTCTAGAAAACAAAAATATTAATACAACAATTAACGTCGATTTAGGGATTTTCTTCTGACGTCATCATCTAATAGGTCTTTTTTTCCAAGTGGTCACAGGGATTAATTAATTAATCTCTTTATGAATGGAGTTATTACGTACGATTGTAAATACTTCAATCCTTGCATAAAACTCAAATTTCGTTTTACAAAGTGAACCACGTTGCCGAGGGTGGGAATGTGCTCTTACTTTTGGGTTTTTCATATGACATTTATTAGGAGAGAGAATTTAAATAATAAAAAATGATATTTTATTTTTAGAATATTTCATTAATGTTTTGTTTGGAAGAGAAGAGGAATTAAGGGATGGAGAAAATAAGTGAGAATTAATTTAATAAAAAATAAATAAAAAATAAAATAAAATTTATAATTATTCTGTAGAGTGAATTTAAATGAAAAATAAAGTGAAATTGAAAATTATATTTTATTTAATTAAATTTTTATATAAAAATAAATAATGTAAACAGTCACTATTTTACTTCTCTCTTAAAACTCTCCTATTGTATTGAAACAATATATTTTTATATATAATTTATTAGCATATCAACTGTATCAGTTGACATGATTTATTATGTTTATCTTAGTTTCAATATGATACCTTTTGTAAAAGAAGAATGCTACAACATCCGAAATTTTGACCGAAAATATATCCAAATTAATTATGACTTACGTTTATAATTTTTTATTATAAAATATAAATTTTAATTAAAAAAAGATTTTTAATCAGTCAAAAGATCATTCGGAATGAACATTCAAAGGATATATCATTTTTCTTTGTAAAATACATTTTCATCTCAACATAATCGCATATGGTGACTTTCCAATACACATATAACCTATTAATAGTTGTCATAATGGATTATGTAATGCTCATATAGTTGAATATAACACTTCTAACACAATGCATTATCATCCTAACTCGTAGGTTGTCGTTGAAGTGTGAGTTGACATAAAATATAAAAATGAGACACGAGAATAAGATTAATTTTATAATTTAATTTGAGTATTTATTTTTGCGACAATCTTTTCATGAGACAATATAAATCGAAAATGTAGAACTTATGTATAAAATCATCCCATTTTTCAACAAATTATTTTCTCTAAATAAGTATATTTTATTTAAATCCATCTTAATCCATTTATTCTCCTTAGTTCCCTGTTAAATCACCCCCACAACACATAAAGTAAAGAAAATCTTATATTTAAAATCATTTTGTTAAAACATTTATCGGAATTTTCCCTCTCTTTTTCTTATGCAATTTGCTCACTTTTGTTTTTGAATTGCAGAGATAAGAAGAAATAAATTCAAAGTTTGTTATTTTTAAAAATAATTATCATAAATGATTATTTTGAAATCATAATTGAGTATCCTCCCGATATCAATAATTCATTCATTGTGCTATGATTTTCATCCAAAACAAATAATCGGTTATTTGCGTACAAATTTCCTTTAAAACATGTAAAATATTTAATTTGTTTCTACTTATAATGTTTTTTTGGTGAAAGTTGTTTTTTTTTTCAAATCAAAGCATCTAAAATAATCAATTACGTACAACTTGATCGATCATTAATACCCATTTTTTTTCTTCATATTTTTGCTCATGAAAGTTTCTGACTATTTTATTAAAAGTAATTCATCATCATATTTACTTACCTTTAAAAACTCTTATTAAAACCTTATAAAACTTTTATTAAACCATTTTTCTATTGTTTTTATTCTTTCATATGTAATCTCATAGGATCAATAGTATTATGATAAGATCACATGTGGCACATACACACTATCACACACACATAATCATGAATTTAACAATTAATACAACTTTGCACTCATCAAATGATGCTAGTGTTATCATAAAAAACAACTTTGATAGCTTTGTCTCCGGTTTGTCATCAATTGTAGTTTAGGAAGTGAAACATAATTAAGTTAAAACACGAGGAATAACTAAAGAGTGTTTAGAAAGCATAATTAAGAAGAGAACGAGATAATTTTGATAGTTTAGAAGAATTAACGCAGGAACAACTTTGATAGTTTAATTTTTTTTTATCATCATCAAAAAAAAAAAGAAAAAAAAAGAGAGAGAGAACGAAAAAAGATAATTGAAAAGTTTGAAAAAAGAAACATAAAATCCAAAAGAGAGGGTGAGGAAACTTTACAGACCTAAATTCGTTCTTATTTATCACGGTACAAATACTTCGTTGACATCTCTCGATCTGGTTCTTTCATCTTATTATACTATATTTACTTCTCACATCTATATTTTATTCTTTTCCTTTCTTGCAAGGTGTATACAAGCATTTGATATTTTTGTTTCTTTTACCTCATTAGACGTTTATACACGGAAGGAAGCTTACTTAATGTCTGCTCTCTATTTTTTCATATCAAACAAAAATCATCGCTGGATTCTTTCATTCTGTTTCTGGGACCATGTGTAATGTTTAGTACATTGTATGCTTTCATTTTTGTTTTCTTAAACAAAACGCAGAGAGAAAACCGTAGGAATTTTACCAATAATTTCCCAGCTTGGCACATAGAACTATATAAGTAAGTATATATAACGATTCAAAACAATGATGAGACTTCTTTTATCTCGTTTACTTGCAGTAACGCTATCGCTGTCGCAACCATTACTAAGTACTCACAAAACTAGTGTTCGACTAGAAAGAAGTTAAATATTTTTGCTTGAATAAATGTAAAAGAGATATATGATTTCATTTTCAGCTATTTGGTATTCATGTTTAGCTATTATTTACATTACATTATATATTAACAGGGAAAAGTGTGTTTAACATTTTTAAATTACATATTTTTTTAAGTAAGTAGCTTAAAGTTTATTTTTAATCTTAATTAATCCTTAAACAATTTTTTTTACAATATAAACATTTTAAACATTAATTTTATTCCAATTTATCCTTTATTTTTTTAAAATATAAACAACTTAATATCAATGTTATCTCATTTAATAGTCAGATTTTGTTTTTTTTAAATAGTCTTTTATATTAATTGAAATTAGAATTTGAGAGTATAATTTATAGGACTAAATATTTCTTGGTAGTCCAATAATCACTTGATAGCTAGTAGTTCAATAAAGCTAACAACAATCAACAATGACTATAGTATAGACTTTGATACTATATTAACAATGTGATTTTCAAATCTAATTCAATCTTATAAAATCTATTTGTAAGGTAAGAATTGTTCATGACTTATATACATTTTATTGGCCAAATTACTAAATAACTTCGCAACAAAAACATCACTATTCATTATCTAAACTAAATGCATAATGAATTATCTTCATACAACATTCGTCATATAAATAACTCATCACCCTTTAATTATAAAATAACCTCAAACATCTCACATAAATCATACAACTCACATCTAGCACAATCCCCTAAGCACTCAATGTTATTAAGACAGGGGAGTTTCTTGCCTCGCTCATGCTCGACGTCAACCTCCCCATGTTTGATGTGGATAACATAAAGAGTCTCTCAATCTCTCACGTTTTGCGTGACAAATCCCACACTTGGCCCCAATCAAGCAGAGGGTCTCTATCAGACTCACATCCAATGTCACTTCATTGATGCTTGATGTCAATTCAGATACAAATGATTTTCTCTCCTTACGCTTAACGTCATTCAAACCTATGTTCGGGTGACCAAGTTAGAGAAAATTATGTCTCCTTATGGCTAACATTACCAATCTTACATCTAATGTTGGTGAGACAGAATACCCCTAATTCGAGTCACACCCAACACCATGAAAGTGTTTGATATGATGATGAATTTTATACTTGGTAAAAACTCATTTTCGCCCAATTCACCTAAAATCTAGCCAACATCAACATGCATTGCAACATACAACATATATAAACAACATGTGAAACACAATTCCATCATAAAAAACAACATGGATTCATTCTAGAGCAAGGATCATCATATTCCATCATCAAGACATCTTTCATAGACCCAATATATATATATATATATATATATATATA